ACAGCCATATAGGCACATATGTAGTAGTTCTCATAAAACACAGACGTATGTCAGACATGTGTTGGCTCTCTGCCAGCCATTTTGTTCTCATTGCGCACACCAGTGCCCAGAGTTCCCCAAAGGATTTGTCCTGAAGGAAAAGTTTATGAACTTTTACATCATAAAGATCATTTTTAATCAGCGCACATACCTGACAAGGGCCTGTCTAGTCTCTTCAAAGAAGATCAGCTGTCCCGAATATTTACTGAAAAATGCTTCCCCCCGGGGTTTTGTATATGTTACGTACTGGCTGACTTTAAAGGAAGAGTTGTAGACACGTAAATGTAGATTATTGCTCCACTAGGGTGAATATGAAATACTTCCCAATCTGAAGGCAAAAGTCTCCATTTCCTACATTGTGACCCCCTGAGGTGTTATTGCTGGAGCCATCACACCAAAGCTGGCAATACACACCCTGGCTTCTGTCATACAGCCTGCGGCTCCACACTCCAAATTCTTCAGTCTACTCTAAGCTGATTGGCCGCAGTCACTATTAAGCCAACACTTTTATACCTGGATCCTTTGACAAAAGTCATTTAAAAATTCAAAGTTTGTCGAGCTGTGTGGTGCCGGCAGGGCCACCCATACATAGAATTTCTTCAGAGACAGCAGGAGTTGCTGGAAGTTCAAGCATTTGTATGGCCAACTTTAGTAGTGTGTGCATGCAGAGAGCAACCCAGATAACATCAAAGTCAGTGCTGAACATGGATATTAAAATCTGAACGTTGGACAAACAGGTTAATAGAATCACATTCTCAAACAATTCATCCCCACACAGCTACCTCCTCTTGTATCACTGGCCCCTCCCTTTTAGATTGTAAGCTCTCACGGGCAGGGCCCTCCTTACCATCTCGTCTTGAATTGTATTGTAATTGTAATGTCTTCCTTATATTGTAAAGCACTGCGCAAGCTGTTGGCGCTATATAAATTCTGTATAATAATAATAATAATAATAGGCAGCCGAAATATACACATGAGCACTTTTTCCTGCAAAAGGATTTTTTAACTCTATTCAGCATGACATGTAATACATGAGCGGGCAGTGTGCGCTTGCGCACACCGGCCCGTGCGGCATTTGCCTTACGAGCACGGCGCAAACCCGCTGAAAATCTTACGATTTTCGGCTGGTTTTCCAACATGTTCGTAAGACAAAAGACGTGCGACCGTAGAGTAGAAACGGTTGCACGCCTTCCATACACCTGCCGACTATCGTACAATCTGTGAATTAATGATGTCGCTGTGCAAGTGGAGCCATGCACATCCTTGTTGAATTCAAAAATATACAGAAGCCATCGGAAAGAAGCACCCTGCGATTTAGGTAAGTGGGATGGGGGTTGTTTGAGGGTGGGGAGCTGTGGAATGGAACCATGTTTCATTGTAAACATGGTGTGAAAGGTGGAGTTACCCTTTAATGGTGTTTAACATATTCATAACTGGATTTTATAGTGATGAGCCTAGAATTCAGCTCTGCAACTGATATGTCAATTTTCTCTGGGTCCGCTTTGTTAAATTACTACTCTACATATATATATTTTATAGACTCTGAGACAGTTTATGTATGTTCCCTTCCAGAAGGCCACAACAAACCTATCAGCTGATTTAGAGACTCATTTTATCACTGGAACCAATAGCTGTATATCCCAAGGTAACCATAATGTGAATATTGTGAACACTAAGAGTATTGAGGTCACAGGCTGAGTATGAAAAGCAAATCAGAGCTTATACAGCTAGACGAGTACTAATGTCATGTTCACCAGACTGTCCAATGCCAAAGCTACGTACCTGTCAGCCTGGGCACATTTCCCATTATAATCAGAAACTGGGACATTTTAGGTGTTAAATTCATTTTTATTGTTAGTTTTAGATAAAGTGGAAAAGCAATAGAATCTCTGTCTGGTTTTTATTACTTGAGTCCCTGATGTGGAGATTTACCCTTTATTACCTGTTCTGGTGACCACTCTCTCTCAGGGATTTGAAGTGAGGGTAACATTCCTAGTGGGGACCTATTGCCAGCCTACTACAAAACACCTTTTCATGTTGTGGCTCCTCGAGAGATTTTCACATATCTCCCGTCTGAGTGACCACTGTCACTTGGGCGCCAAGCCTTCCTTACCCAAACTAGAGGTAAAAAAAAGCTCCTTGCTGATTGGAACACTCTAGGTCTGACTTTGCAGGAAGAGGGAGGTTGGACCTCACCAGATAGATCACTGCTTCCGCACAGTGCAAGGGTCCTTCTCTGCAGCATGCTGGCATGGAACAGACTTTTCTACTAAGCCTGTTGCTGCTTCCTTAAGAAAATAACCTATTAGACATTGCATACTTTCGTATAATCCAATTGGTTTTCCAGAGACTGTGGATTTGCATTCAAGGTTCAGGTTATTTGCACATATAAGCTGTAGGAAATCTCTACATTGCCTAATGACCCATTAAACCTGACACACTGTGCCAGGCTAATATTTACTCTTTATAGCACCTTATAGCATTCATTTTATGGGAAACATAAACTTGAGCTGTAATTCAGCTTCACTATCCATAAAAAAGCCATACAGGCTTATGTTTTATTTTTCTTGTGACGCAGTTTTTTTATATTGATGTCATAATTCAGCAAGGAAAAGAAATGTGCACAAATGAGTATCTGTCTTCCATACCCATGACCTTCAAAAGTCAGTCAAATTGTGTTTACAATCTTCACTGAGAATTATCAAGTAGAAAGAAAACATTCATAAGTACTTGAAGGGTAATCTTCTGATTCTTGTATCTGTAGGTTTTTTGACCTGTTGTTCTATCGAAAGTTCCAACTCCTCGAGTTCTCCAATCATCTGACTTCTGATTTAGTTAGAAGTTAGAGGTTTGGCCGAGAAGGCTGTACTGAACGTGGGCCACCCGTGGCATTTCCCTATACACACACTACACAGCAATAAAATATTAAAATGAAGTAGGTTTACAGTAATCCAGCACGTTATTAATCTGAGTTGCCCTACTCAATATAACTATAAAATTATATAGTTTTATAGTTATTTTTATTTTCATATTCATTTTATTACTGTGATATCTGCATTTGTCTTGTAGCCCTGATGAAGGGCCCCTGAAACACATTGTCTATTTTTCTGCTGTGATCCAATTTTATCATTACAATTTTGGACACTTGAACGTTTGTTCCGGCGCTCTCATTGGAATGTACATACATAGATTCTCAACTCTGAGTTTTCCCCCATTTTTTGGGGGTGCCCCTGTTTCGTGGAGTGCTGGCGAACTGGAGTGATAATTTGACTGACCTTCTGAAAATCTGAATCTAGCACCTCGTTTTCACTTTTGTTTAGAAATATAAACCTGATCGGTATTCTTCCTCTTACCCACCATATCCAAAATTTGAAAGAAATAATATTCACTACAGAGTTGGTAAATAGCAGGTAGACCTCACCACAGGAGCCTTGTAGTAAGGCAATAAGCTGGTAGGGGATTGCTCACTAACATCCATCCACAACTGAAATGTCACCTCATGAATGAAGATTGTGACATGAGGGTCACAATCTTCCATAAAAGCGTAAATGAAGGGTCCAGGGTGAGAAATCTCCAACACCATCGTAATGGCTCCCACACATATTTTTAGGTCGGCCCCATCCTGCAAACCTAAAGACATTTAAGTGAATTAAAAAGCTGATACTGTCCAAAGAAATGCTGCACACTGGTAGTTCACCATACACGTGGTTTATTCAATCAAAAAAACAACATGGTATGGTCCCCACCTAGTCTTTGTCGGTGAGATGCGGGCAATCGTAGGAAGGATCCTTATATTTACATAGGTCGACCGCATCACAGGTAGAAACATTTAACCATAGCACAGTAACTATATCAAACATTCTATCTTTGCAGGAGACCTAGTTTGTCTATGTAGCAAAAGACCAACATACTATATTTTATATATACATAAAACGATAATATAGTAAAAAGAAAAGCTTTAAATACTAGTAACATGCAGAAACCTCTTCTTTACTTATCACTGTAGCAAGATTACAATATTTCTACTGCCATGATAAATAATAAAACATTCTTTGTGTTCTGGGGTACTTTCCTCTCTCATATACTAATTGATTATACTGGCACAAACTACCCGGACCAGTATCTGATATCACCCCAGTATTAGTCCACCTAGAGCAGTATATACTGTTGTATTTGAACTGTAACATGAGGAAGCAAAGCCCTGCTACTTTGCCAAGATGGCCACCTCCATACAGAAGTAAAGCAGAACAAGACATGGAGGGCCAGCAATGGGCTAAAGGATCAGCTACAGGGAAACCAAAGGCAATACTGAAGACCAGTTCTTTGCCCTCTGAATGTCAATGAGCAGTGTTGCTGCAGGTTGGTCTACGCTTGCCCACCACAGTCAGACGCTCAATAGAGAAGCTGCTTTTTGGAATATGCCAGTGAGCCACTATCCACTTTTTCTGTCACAGTCCTTTGCCAATGGCTTGCCTTTTTTAGCCATCCCTTTCACAGCACAGGACCTCTAATAGTCAGGGGACTAATATTTATCTCTAAATCTGTAACTCAGCTATTTCAAAGCTCACAGCTGCAGTGGACTTCTAAATCTACAAAAGTCCAGGTCTGTGCATTTTTCTGATGTCCCCAGCAGCACTGAGCTCTGTTCATCATATGGCCGCTATCATACCATACATCCAAAGTTGTAAATCATAGCTCTTGAGTTTTAACAAGCATCATATAATGCTACCGTGTACTTATAACATTGCGGTGATTCCTTTCCTGTAAAGGCTCAAATATTCCAGCTGTCATTTTCAATGGAACAAGTGACCTAGCAACCTGATTGTTTCAACGTCCTTAATAGGAGACATAAAGACTTGTTGGTGCCACCAGGAAGGTTATCTGTAATGCTACTTTTCATTCCCACGAAGTGAGGTCATGTCCTGTCATTAACAGCACACTTTTCTGTGTTTACTTTCTAGAGATAGGACCCGTCACCATCACCACAGACCCAGAAAAATTCAAAAGTGAACTGGAAGAGCTCTACGTCCAGGTATTTTACTGTTTTCCCACAACTTCTTTAGGTCTGTGTGGCCCTTTAAATATATCTAAAACCAAGAACAAAAATTACACACTGTATATTTCAGCTTACCAGTTCTTCGATGTGGTGGCTGCATTTGTTTTCTTTTTCGTAGGCTTTTTTTCCTTTATTTTACACTTGGTGGTCTTACTAGAAGCATTCCTCCTGTCCTAGGGTAACAACACTCACAGTACTGTATCTGTGAAGAAGCAGTGTTGTCACACTAGGGAAGGAAGTTTGAAGGAACTACAGAACACAACCCTCTGTCCTCATTTCTATAACATGGAGAGAGGTGTTCTGTTGTTCACAAAGGCAAGCTGATAAACACCGCTTGAGATAACCCTCTGGTGTGAACAGGATAATGGTTTTCTGGTGGGATCAACAGGTATTTTTTGCACTTATCGAACAGATATAACAAACCACTTTTAATGATATATTTACCAGACCAAAAAGAAGCAAATATGAGAAGCTAATTGTTATGCTTTAAAGATACTTAAAGATGTCAAAAAAAGTGTTTGCATTCTTTCAAATGCTTTTATGATTACAGGGTGGGGGTGACTGCCCGGAGATGAGTGTGGGTGCCATCAAGATAGCATTAGAAGTTTCCCACCCTGGATCCTTCATTTACGTTTTTACGGATGCCCGTGCTAAAGATTTTAGGAAGAAACAGGAAGTTCTACAGCTGTTGCAGCTCAAGCAGTCTCAGGTTAGTACATCTAGCATTACTGCTTTTTTTTCTAGGTTTTCACAAAGTTTCGTATGGGCCTCCTGTACAGAAACTAAGGGTGCAGATGTTGCATAGATCAGCCAATAAGATGCAAGCTAACAACATCAAAATATAAGATCCTGAAATACGTTTGTAGACGGAGGAACCCTTCATCCTATCGCCTGTTCTTTCAGAGGAATCGGTGGCGTTAGAGATCCTATTGCAGTTAAATTGTGAGGTCCAGCCATGATTTATTACACAACTGGTTCCGGCAGTGATTTTTCTGGCACACCTTAGTAAGTGACAGAGAATGTAGCTATTTTGGGTATCCAAAGTTCCTCCTGTCCTGAATCCCAGATCCAGGTGCCATATGAGAAAAGGTTGTGATAGGTTTGGGAGCATGTCTTTTGGATCATATCATGGTGATGGAGGTGGCAATGGAAGATATTGTTTGAACCTCCTAACTTCTCTCTCTTAGATCTCTCTGCATGTAAAGCCTGCTTTAGCCTGCCACGTGTGGAGCGGCAGCATTAATTATTCTTCTCTAAATGACCAGCATTGTTTGTAATTAGACTGCAGAGAGACTTTAGTTGGGAACCCCTGACTTGCAGACACCCAAGCCTGGCATTTGGTGTTCCCAATCCTCCTGGTGTACTCAAGCCAGCGTAGAAAAAATGCTTTGGAAGGGAAGGTTGTCTCTACAAAAAAGAAAGTTGATACTGATCAAAGAGGGTCAGATCAAAAAGCAGTTATAAAGGGTCGGAGTATCCACTTTTTCTTTAAAAATTAAGTTTTATTATAAACAGTTTAACAAACGAGTCATTATCATAAATAAACACAACCTCCACCTTCTAAAAATTATTTGCAAATAACATTGATTCAATCACAACATACATACATGTGGACTGGCTGATGAGTTTGAAAAGTACGTATTGATGGAGCTCAAAACAAGTAAAAGTCTGAAAGAATGCACTTTGAAACAGAATGTCAATGTATGTGCTAAGAACCAGAGGTCTTGCTGCACTCCTTACCGGAAGAAACCTGTATGGGTGGGTGCTCGTAGTGACCACGAACGGCACCGTGTATACCATAGAAGAAGAAATAATGTCACCAGCACACCATAGTAGTAAAGTAATAATCCATTTAATGGCACATTGCCATTCGATGCAAGCGCTTTCGGGGCCTCAGGGGCCTGATGAAGGGGACCCCCTGAGGCCCCGAAAGCGCTTGCATCGAATGGCAATTTGCCATTAAATGGATTATTACTTTACTACTATGGTGTGCTGGTGACGTTATTTCTTCTTCTTTGTCAATGTATGTGGATACAGAGGTGGAAATCCTCTTCAGCGACGTTATACTACAGATAATACTGTCTCTCAGGGCCTATAAAGTGCCGATGCAAGAATCTGGGTCGAGGTGAATTTTGTTACAATATAATGTCTTCAGATCTGTGGTAGCATCTCCTGAAATTATCTGAAGAGCTGTGTTTTTTACGGATCTCCAGGAATCAGCCAGATAAACAGAAAATGCAAGTACTCACAGGGCTTCGTCAGAATGTTGTGTTGTAGGTTGTCTCTTTCCATACTGTATTTTGTAGTTTTATTAAATTTCAGTCTGATTTAACTGTAAAGAAAACCTTTTACTGAAAAAAACATGGGGACTGTCATTACTGATCTCTTAGTTAGTTGTCCATGTTGATTCAGTACTTTCTGAGTCACTGACACATAACAAGTATACATATTAGGAGTTCTGATTTGACTTGCTGCATGCTTGCCCTAGGTCAGTAATTCAGATCTGTATTGAAATCACAGATAAGCCAGGTGTCTAGCAATTTACGAAGGAGGTTGACAGTGGCAGTCCACATATTTCTCTCAGTGAAAGTTTCCTTAATAGTATACTAAGCATCTAACTCTAAATAACTGTATACACGTACCTTCAGCTTTTGATGGCTGGACTGTTTGTGAACATATTGTTAAATAATGTTTCTTCTCTGCAGGTTGTCTTTGTGCTTACAGGAGACTGCGGTGACAGGGCTCACCAGGGTTACCGCGTATATGAAGAGATCGCAGCCACCAGTTCAGGTCAGATATTTCACCTGGACAAGCAGCAGGTTAACGAGGTGAGTTAAATCATCCATTTCAACTAACACTTTTTACACTGGCCTGTCTGACCCTTCTAACACTACTTAATCTACTTAAGTTAACCCAAAATCTTGATTTTGGTAATCATGGTCATATAACACACAGGTGTAAGTCTTCAGGGTTTACAGCACACAATAAAGACCTCTTTTTTTGTGAGTCACAGAGCTCAAAGTGCATGGGGAGATTTCATTTCACTTCCTGCCCCAGAGACAGACCAGAAAGTGAGAGAAAACCTCTCCAAACTGAGGGGCTATTACATCTTAAACTGTTGTCATTGGACCAAGTGTCAATAATGGAAGATTCCCCTTCAACTCCTGTTTCTGTAAGAGTTAAAAAATGTTGAATTTTCCATTATTGCACCAAGACAACGGTCATCATCAAAACCAATAGTGGGGGTGAGACTCTTCGGGTGGACGCACAGAGTTGAGTTAAAACCTATAAGGGTTCCGACCTTTCCACATTCATTTCAAAATGAAAAAAAAGCTTTAGCATGCACACACTTTAAAGTGATACTCCAGTTTTGTTGATACAAATCTCTTATATACAGATCTCTCATTTACATATGCAAATTGGAAGGTGTCCAGCAGCCAATCATCCTCACCACTAGAGGCTCTGTCGAATACCTGGCCCTTCTTAGATTCTGCGCCTCTAGCGCGTCCTGAGAACGCACAGACCATTAGTTCCTCTCTCCCTGTGACCAACATCCCAGAAATTCCTCCTGTCTGTGACTCCTACCAACTCCTCAAACCCCGGGGTTCACGTACCCTAGTGCCTCGGTCCCCAGACTTTACAGTACTCCTGGCACATTGGTGGGCCTATATGCTGCCATAAAGTTAAACAGGAAAGGAAAATTATGGCACGTGTTGGATAGGATTTTTCCTTATTCCTGACCATATATGAGTAGGAAATATCTAGCAGCAACAGTTGAGTGCCAGCAAAACACAAACATTATTACAAGAAGAAGCGGATGCCAAAACTGAAAGCCCAAAAATCATTGTAGTCAAGGTGGCTGCTTGAGAATGATGATGTGAAATAATTGTGGGAAGCCTACTCTCGACACTGTATCAAGGGACAATGAAGAAGTCGAAGCCTATGACATAGACACATTTCTGCTCAAGTGTGCAGTCACCCCCTTCAGTACCAAAAAGACCATGTTAGGCATCTCAAATCACACACAGTATCTAGCCTGCTATTGTCCTGGTAGATGCTTTTCTACTTTTATTACTTGAAGGGAAGACAAACAGCCTTTCCATTAACTCATGGAATTAGTAGCTGAATGTACTCTTGGAGAGTTTTGCCCAAGTCCAAGGAATGAGGTCCTCTTGCCTCAGATAGGAGAGGCTAGGAAATGGAACACTAAGCACTTTAAGGCTCCATTCACACCTAGGCACCAGCGTTTTTGTGCACATTAGTGCACGTTTTGTTTTGCAGTCTTTCCATCGTGTTTAGCGCATTTTTGCGTGTGTTGGAGATGCGTATACAAAGATGCACATTTTATTGAGCAGACTGAACTGCATTGCAGTAAATGAACAAACGTGCGCAAAAACCCTTGTGTCTCGCATTTGCATGTGTTTCCATTGACGTTTATGTGGCCACACACGCTGTGTACTCTTGTACTTTTTACAGCATTTGGCGTTTTACAGCTTGCAGCAAAACTCTGTGAACAGGGGCTTTTGAAATGAATGGGATTTCTTGTGTTGTGAGTTTTGTCACACTTAGCTTTGAGCGTCAAAACACCTAGGTGTGAACAGGGACTTAGTGAAAGTCTGCCTTAAAAAACTGGATAACCAGCTTGTCTTTTGCTGACTGAGTCTTGGTAAAGGCTGAGATGGCCGAGACTTGAGTCTTTAAGGTTATCACTCCCAACGACAGAAATTTCCGGATACTCTTGGTTTTGTAAGATATGCCCGAACACCCAGAGTTGTTGGTGAATTTAGAATAAAACCCCCACATTGAAGTTGGCCACTACTTTGCAGGCCTGAACAGGCGTGTCTTCCACAGGACTTAGTATAACCTATCCTAGCAAAGGCTGTAGCCTTAGAGGTTTTAGGAAAGAGAGAAAGATAGTCTGGTTGTTCCTCTGGCATGACCAGGGGGTGAAACTACCGCCGCTTCTGCAGCCGCGATCGATCGTTTAGTTCTTCCTTCTCTGGCCGGAGTGAAGGGAAGACAGCCGTACTGATTCGTCTCCTCCTCGGCCGCTCTGTAGCTGCATTACTGACCTCTGTACTGTGCATTACATTACTGATCTCTGTACCGCTGACTTCTGTACTGCGCGTTACATTAGTGACCTCTGTACTGCTGACCTCTGTACTGTGCGTTACATTACTGACTTATGTACTGCATCACACCGCTGGCCTCTGTGTTGTTACTGATCTCTGCACTTTGCGTCACACCGATGACCTGGCGGAGTTAGGGTTGGGGCAGGGTAGGGGATGGGTGGGCAACTGGAGGCGAGTAACTCTTAAGGCCTGGCGAGTAGCTCAGGACTTGAAATTTTGAGCCCTGCTATTGGGTACTCTGAGCGGTGGAGACTACCCACTCATGTGCTGCCATGGAGAGGTCAAGAAACTATATACTGATATTGCCATACATTGCCATGATTTTTTTAAACTTTTTTCTGGCTGCACAACTGAAAAATAAAAATAACTCAAAGTTAAATTGCAAAGCAATGCGTGTAGGAAGTCAACATACTATATCAAAGTGGAGTTTTCCTTCCCATGGGCCTCATTGTTCTCAAGGCAGCAATTTGGAGTTAGCGAAGTCTATAACCGGCCCTCTAGGACTGATTTATAAGATAGGAAATAACCAATGTTACATACTGTATCTCAATGGGCTTATTGTCTAGTGTCAAGGCTTTGTGACTTTTATTGCAGCCCCTTTACTTTAATGGAGACACAGGGTTCTACAGAGTTTGGGTTTTGCACCTATTTTGTTGCAGGGCTGCAAATAGTGGTGCTTTGTGCCCACATTAATAACAGAATCTCTCCTGCATGGCCCACATCTGTTTGCTGTTTATTGCAGAGGGGAAGTTGAAGCCTGGATGTCTCCGGCATTCTGGCTGTGTCTGTCCCATCTGGCTGTAATTACAGACAGTGCCCTAATTCCATCACACGGTCACATTATTGTGCTGAATAATCACATCCGCAACCCCCGCCCCCCCGCGCCAATGCCGTGGGATGACTTTGTAAGTTTCCCTTTTTTTAATTTATTTTAAGAAAAGCAATCATTAACGCTTCTAATTTTCTTAAACAAACTGGCCTTCTTGGTCTTTGTTTGTTTTATTTGTAAGTTGATGACCAGATTGTGATGTCACTCAATTCCCTTCCTGAAATAAATCACCACTTGACATGATGGGATTTATATTGAATAATTAGAGACCAAGTTATAGTCCTATTAAAATGCAGGATATTGTTGTGAAGTAAATATATACGCTTTTCAATTATTTTTGCATATTTGTGTAAATGAGTTTAGCTTGATGTAAATAACCATATTAATGTGTGTTATTGTTTTGAAAAAAAGTTTGTTTTCATGTATAGTTTGTAGTAATATGGAAGCAGCCGTATTTGCTCATTACGTATTCCGGCTGTGCTTACTGCTTTTCTGAGCTACACAATGGTTGTGCTTTACTGCTTCTTCTCACATTGCAAGACTGTGAGTCAGCTGACTCACTCACTGAAAACAATGGCATCCATATGTGGCTGATATCTCATCTCAACAGCTGTTAAGCAGAGGAGTTGAATGAAGTGGAGTCAATTATAGTGCTGCCTCTTGCAGTTATTCTACAAATCCCTATATTTAATATACTGTAAAAAATATGGTAGACCAATTATTTAAAAATGCAAAAGTGAGATCCAAATGTATTTTAAAGGTTATGTAAAGCCATTTGTTTTGCTTTGGATATTATGTGGAAGTATTAAAACCTCTGACAGTTTGCTGGGAAGATTTACCCTCCCTGTTTGTTTTGGTGAGAGGAAATTCAACATACATCACAGGAATACAGTTTAAGGCAAAATCTTCCAATGAGAATACATGTTCTGGTGACAACTGTCTGAGAGGGAATAATCGCTTGCCTTCTGCTGTGTCAGCTGTGTGTTTTGGCTTTACATATACTTTAAGGTAAAACTGGCCATACATGGATCAAATTTTGAAATTGGAATTTCCTGCTTAATTGGCTGAAATTTGACCAGCACGACCTGGCTTGATAAAGGTCGATGTTTCAAAAAGTTGACTTTCCAGTCAAATTTTCTTAAAGGAGAATCAGTTGCAGTCACCTTTCGGGTATTCTGACAGCAGCACCTGCTGTCACAATCCAATAGCCCGGCAAGCAGATTCCTCCATCTACGCTCTTTAGTGTGCATTGGAGGAGCGAGTCATTTTATGGTGTATGGCTACATTAATATATGCTCACCAGAAGCACATTATACTTTTCCCTGTAAAATGAAGAGATGAACAAATTTAACCAGTTAAAGTTTTAACGCATTTTCTTGTAAAGAACAGCCAAAAGGCAAAACAAAAATGCCTAACACACTCACAGAATTTGTGTTAGTTCCCACCCCCTCCATTTCAACATACTTGAATGACAGCACAGCCCATGCAGCAGAGAACTCTCCTATTGCAGCTGAACTTTGCTTCTGGAACACTTGGTTATCTCCATACAACAAGTCCATGGGGATCTATTGGTAACAAAAAGGGGGATCGGGCAGAAAAATGTGACAAGCTAGTCACACCCCCCCTTCCTTTTTGCCACCGGCGGATTCCCATGGACTTGATGTAACATACAGGAAGAAAATGTTTATGCTATTATCAAAGGCTGGGGAGCTTGGCTGGATCATTCATTTTTAGATGATACGTTGTATTTGTAAAAATCATGCATTCACAATGGTGGTGATGATGCTTTCATTTTAACTGTACTACTATTAAACTTGGAATAGGTTTTAATTACTGTCTATGGATAGATTGGCATTGGTATCCTAAAAGTCCACATTAGAACTATTTCTGCTTTATGTATACATACCTCAAAATATAAAATGTTGTACACTTATAAGAACATTGCTTCAATTATGTCAGTACTGGAGAAAAGGACGAACGGGATCTGGTTCCAACAGAGGGGCAGTTGGGAGTTATGCTGGTGTCAGACCAGGCAACACATTATTATTCTGGATGCCGAAAATACCTGACCCCTAATAAAAAAAATGTTGTTAATGAGTTGTGTCTGTTTTGCAATGTTTTTGCAGTGCTCTCTACCTAAAAGGCATTACTAAATACTCAGTAATATAGAATGTGGTTTGAGGTTGAACATGCTGGAATGTCCTGTAGGCACCAGTGTAACTTGTGCATCACTTTGCTCTATGCCAGGTGCTCAAGTGGGTTGAGGAAGCTATTCAGGCCTCGAAGGTCCACCTGCTGTCAACTGATCATGAGTCTGGAGGTGAAAGACAATGGCAGATTCCATTCGATCCAAGCCTTAAAGAGGTTACCATATCTCTGAGTGGACCGGAACCTCGCATCCAAGTCACTGATCCTGCAGGTAAGCTTTACTCACTACTTTTCATAACCTAACCAACTTTTTTAAGTGCACCATTTTTCCAAAGATACTAAGATTTTGCCATGGTCTGCCTAAAACTGGGTACACACAGTTATCTTTTTTATTTGTTCAACCTGCGTGCTGAATAAAAAAAAAAATTACCTGTGAAAAAAAAAAAAATATATGACCGATTTCTCCATCCACGCCAAACAGCATGAATGAACGAATTTCCCACTGTGTCCATTTGTGTTCTGACAGCGGCCAACGATTTTTCAACATGTTTCTTTGGCAAAAGTCTATCAAATTATTGACTTCAGTCAAGGGAAATGGATCACCAACAGATCGAATTTTGGCCAATTCCTGCTGAATCGGCTAAAATTTGCAACATGTGTACCCAGCTTGACTTAGCTCTGTTGCTAAAATCAGTCAAAATGGTGGTACAGTAGTGTACATAATAGTACTTCCTCTGTATTTGTTCCCCCACAGGAGCCTGGATGGTCACTCAATAAGGATGTAAGTTGCCACTGTTTTGCTTGATTTTAACAACAGAATTAAGTTGGGCAGACCATGGCAAAATCTTAGTTAAGGTGGATAAAAATGTATAGCATTTATATTGCTGATTTCAAAGGTGTGCTAGGCTCATTACAGTATTGATTTAATTTTAAAAACAAATGTTCAATTGTCGTTTAAGTTTAAACACGTGTAGTCGTCTTTATTTAATCATGTAGTATGCAAGTGAATTGCATGTTGCATCTGTGGCATAGAACCTGGGTTGGTAGAAGCAACAGCTGTGACCAGGCATCTCCGACAAGGAGACCCCAGGCCATTTCCAGTGCCACAGCTCTGCCCCACTGTGAAAAGGTCTGGTAGGAATCTCAGGGGGGACTCCCGATGTGAAAAGGTCTAATAATAATTCAAGGGGGACCCCAACAACAGAAAAATGAAAAAATTCCATACTAGACCCAAAATCTGAGCAGTGGCCTAGCAGAGCAAGAAAGCGCCCCCCCTGCACCATACCAGGCCACATGCCCTCGACATTGGGACCTCCTTGAAAAGCACCTTGTCTTCATGCCGATGAGAACAAGGGCCTGGGGGTCTGCGGGCAGGGAGCTTCCAGATGCCAATTTCAATTGGCAAATCGCATTCCTACAGCCTTCTAAACTCTAATGTAAATAGAATGTACATGGTCTGGAAGGGGGATACAGGGTGAGATGAGCCGACCACTTTAAACATCTTCAGTAATACTACTACTACTACTGAGAGAAAGCTGTTGCAGAGAAGCTGTGCAGAGAAGCTGTCGATGACCAGTAATTTGCTGTGTATCCCATGCATTCAGTTAAGATGTTATGTATACCAAGCCCAGTTCACTGCAGAACACTAGACTGGGTGGAATGTTATAATGAGGAGTCGAGCAATGGAGGGCAAATAAAGAGGGGGATCAATAAAGGATGACCAGCAAGGGAAAGCTGGAACAAGGGCTATTGCATGTGCCAGACAAAAACTCGTAACTAAGAGTGCCACCAGAAGCCTCTGTGTTGGAAACAATTGATTACACAGGTTAGAAAACCTGAAATGACCATGCTGGTCGGTGCTCTTCTGCTCCCTACTTTTGGTCCCAAAGCTTGATCTGACAGCCCTACCCAATTTGGGCAGAGTTTATCAGCTCCAGAACTCCCCACTATCATTCTAGCCGAAGATACTTTCAAGCTGTAGAGAAAAATAATCAGGTGTCCGAGGAGAAAAAGAGGGCAAGGCAGCCTTGCCATTATTCTTTATGGCCAAATCCCATATTCAACTTGGTGTAAGCAGTGAGCTGCAAACTCTTGCCATACGCCCTACACATGGCTGGCTTGAACAAGAAAAAATAAACCTTGCCGCACTCCTTACCGGGATTCCTATAACATGAAGAAGGGTGCTTGAAATGACTGTGGGTGGCGCCGCCACATATAGACAAAAAGAAAGATGTCACCAGCACTCCAAAAAAGATAACAGCAATTAGGTGCTCATTTATTCACATATGCTGTCTCTCATTAGTGCTAAGTGCTCATTTATTGACAAATGCTGTCTCTCATTAGTGCTAATGAGAGACAGCATTTGTCAATAAATGAGCACTTAATTGCTGTTATCATCTTTTTTGAGGTGGCCATACACTGTACAACCATCGCAAGACCTTAGTCTTGCGATGGTTTTAAAGTGATTAAAAAAAGTACGATCTGCCCATCTTGGACAGGCAGATCGTACTCTCGATCATCGCAAGTCTGCCCCCTGATGGGCAGGCTTCCGATGACCGCAATGCTGAACGGGCGTGCGCACACCGGCCCGTTCAGCATTTTTCTCCCGAGCACCGTTCAAACCAGCCGAAAATCGTACGATTTTCGGCTGGTTTTCTAACATGCTCCTTAGACAAAAGACGTGCGACCGTACAGTAGAAACAGTCGCACGTCTTCGTTCACACTGCTCGATTCTCGTACGATCGCGGGATTTCCTACGATTCTCATACGAGAATCGAGCAGTGTATGGGCACCTTTGGAGTGCTGGTGACATCTTTCTTTTTGTCTACACGTGACTGGGTCACTTAAATCATGTATCCTTTCCTCTGCATTTCCCCTTTTCTGTACTTTAATCAGTTGGGTGATTCAAATTTTTTTTGTCCGCATGCCATTTATATCTGTGTTAACAAGGAAACTGTAGAGTAAAGTTCTTTAATTGAAGTCAAATTTCCCTTTTGTCCTTTTGTTCCTGTCTTGATTGTACTGCTATAATCTTCTGCCTGGACTTGGCTACCACAAGTCTGAGAGGCTCTGACCCTCCCTTTTTCTCTCCTGGCAGGGAAAGTGTTGTCTGTGGGCCAGGGCCTGGAGGAGCTGCTCAGTATCCCCAATTCGGCTCTCGTTTTAGGACTTAAGCCAACTATGCCTGGAATATGGGTCATCAAGGTAATGTTGTCTAATGGGAGCTGAATGCCGCTGCAAAGTAGTGCATAGATAAGATATGTGTTTTTCAAAGCTGTAAAACTTACACTAGACCCCTAGGATTCCCTAACAAGCAAGATTTCAACACGAGTGACCAAATTAAAGCCTCCTATGAAATTTAAAGTGATAATGGATTCCGTTTTGTCAGCTTTCTAGCAGTGGCATGAGGTCTAATGAGGACGCAAGTGTCTAGACAAGGTTATTAATTTTGCAGTCATGTTTGGGTGGTTGCAGCTGATAAGGAAACATTTCCCTTCTCATTGGATTCCAACTGGAGCAGGGATTTCCAGGTCATCTCTCAACTACACACAGAATGCCAGGATGAGCAGCTGCTCAGTAGAAAAAGTCCAATGCCTTAGCAAGTGCTCTTAAAGGATCAATCTTTCCAGTACTGTTCTTTAAGTGTTTGGCAGATACTGCAGAGCTAAATGACCATTAGTGGAATAGCAAGAAGGGGTAAAGTTCTTCTCAACAGTTCAGCTTTAACAATGAATGTTATCAAAACTTATTTTAAAGGATCAATCTTGTAGTTGGACCTACCACACCACCAAGCTATTCTACAAATGATGTTTGTCAGTTTGAGCGTAAATAAATCTACATTTCTTTGTGCTTTGTATTGCCGCAAAGAGACTATTTTTAGGGATTTGTCACAAAATGACTAATTCTGCCATCTGACCTCTGCTTAGGCAAAATCTGCTTTAAAACATATATGCTAATGAGCGGCTTTTATTTGGTACAAGGACAGGTCTGGGTTATTTGAAAAGAGCTTTCATAACCCTCAGGAGTCATTTAAAGCCCATTGCACCCTTAAAAACCACCAGAGCCATCTTAATGAATATCTACGCCCAAGAACAAAAATATATTATATTGCAGGTAACCAATCCTTAGATGTGGTGGCTGCATTAGTTTTTATTTTTCAAGTTAACAACATTTTAAGCAAGTACAGAAAATGTCTGTTTATCTTCCCAGAAATGCTGTGTCCTTGTTACTTCTGTGAACAGAACTAAAAGCGCAAGCAATGCTATCTTCTGTAAACTACTTATCTCCACCCGACATGTAATGGAGATGAATAGAGGAAGAACATGTTTGAAGTCCAGCTTGGGTGAAAACCATGGCTTCTTCCATAGGTACAGTGGAGTGAGTGAGCCTTTGGCAGCCTAGACAGGAAGCGTGTTATTTGCAGGATCACAGAATGAAAAGGAAAAAAGCCTGAAAAAAACAAAACTAATTCAAGGACTTGTAAACTGTAATATATAATTTTTGACTACTGAGAATTTTACCAAAATAGCAAAAATTTGCTGAAGTCTCCTGATTTTCACAAAGATAATCAGAAAGATTAAATCTCACAATTTTGCTCATCCCTACGTTGGATCTGTATTATTATAGGAATGAATGCTTAACTCTAGGAAATTTATACATTTTGGATAGTGTGGAAGAGTTACATTTCTATAAGTTTTTTTTCTGCCTGAACCCCTGAAGGTTTTCCTTCACTTCCTGTTCCCCATACAAGAAATAAGGGTGTTCCAACATGGGTTATGGGCTGATTTTCGGCTAGGGGCAATTTACACTCGGGAAGATTTAAGCTGTCCATCCACTAGTAGAATTCTGTTCACACCTTTTGTTGGAAATTCTGAAAAATCGTTCGTTAGAGTGTTTAATCTTGCCATCGTTGAATCATCTAATTTCAATTGAAGGCCCTTAGGATTTCAACCAGATCTCCTACTTGAATGGAATCTAAGACAAATTAAACAGGTTTCTTTTGCGCCTACCACATATTTTTTTCTAAACAGAAATCACATTCACGGTTAGAACTTTGTTCGATAAGAAAATAGAAATTTTTTCCATCCTGAGATTTTGAATTTTTTTGTCCATATGATCAAAAACAACCATTGATTTTTCCCTATTAATCATTAGAAAATAAAACAAATGTTATTTTCTTTGAACAAAATTATATTGGTGTATGGCCAGTTTTAGTGATGTTCTCAGTGGTGAGAGCTTAGTCCCAAACACTAACAGTGTCGAGCACTAAGCATTTATCACCAGGGGTCGATGACCCTTCATTTCAAATCTGAATAAAAGCGAATTCACCCACAACAGGATGCACCACATCTCCACCACAGGAGGCAACCCGGCCTGAAATCCGTGTGCAAGAGGCCTGTCATTCTGTGCCCCCAACTTTTTTTCTGAGAAAGGGTTTCTTTGAACTCTGGATTAGGTTCAGTTTATTGTTTCTTGGTTTTTGTTCCATTGCTCTCTGTCAGTTCTCTCATATGTTGTAGCCAGGCAGCTCATTACCCTAATGAGGCCAAACCTCCACCAGATGAGCTCATTTCATCTTTATTGCCTCACACAGACCTGGGCAATCTCCTGTAATCAAGGGACTTATAAAACATAACTGAAAGAGTTACTTTATGAAAAGTTTACTACCAACAATGCATAATTGTGCATGCTAAAGTTATCTAAATCCCCAACTTTTTTTAAGGTATGGATAAAGTAGGGAAAGGTTTGAACCCTTATCCGGTTTTAATTGCAGCCCATGTCCTTGCTGGGGAGGTTCACCTTCTCTGTTTATCCTAGTGACCTTTTTCAATAGGACAGAGAGTAACAAGAATTTAAAATTTTACAGTTGTCACCAGAACAGGAGTTTGTAGTCTGATTCTAGTCACATTCGTCAGAGGTGAGATTTCCCCTTATTATGGAGTGAGTTTTGCTAACTTTCTGTTTGGTTCCTGGGGACAGAAAGTATAGGTACATCTCCCCAAGAGAGACATAGATAAAAGCCACATGAAGGTTCTAACCCTTTCTAACCCATCTCCCCAAGAGAGACATAGATAAAAGCCACATGAAGGTTCTAACCCTTTCTCACTTTATACAAAAACAAATGAAAACTTTTAGGCTGGAACATGTGTTTGGTGTATAGTCTCCACACCATAGATGCTCTGTTGCAGCTACCTGCTTGGTAGGGAAATCAAGAGGGCCCTGACATGGTGACAACTTGTAGCAAAGTAAACTGGGACCACCAGGGTTCCAGTCTGTCTCCACCATCAGGAGCTCTGGTGAAGACCAGCCGTCACTTAGGCTCCGCACCTCAGGAGACCCGGAATCACCTGCCAGGGGGTGCCATAACAGGCTCTGTTGGTGAGATTTCTGCACTTAAGTTTTTGGGCCTGCACCCCCGGTGTGTCTATTATGTTACATGCTTACTTTTTGAATTTTATTTTATATTATAAAGGTAACAGGAAGTACTAAAACACTCAAATTCCTAGTAAATTTGCATGGCATATATATCTGCCATATTTTTTTCAGGAGGGTGCGAAAAGTTATTGAAGTACTTTTTTTTATAAAGGTGTTGTGTTAATTGCATGATACCAATGTGATTAATGCACACTATTGCACAATGCACCTGTGTGCTAGGTGTGTTACAATGCCATTTATTAGAATGGTGGGAGGTGCGTTGGGATACCATTCAAATCAATGGTACCACACCTAGCACACTGTAATTCACGCTATATGCTTTGTGTTAATCACACAGTATCGTGCAATTAACACAACGCTATAGTGTGAATGGGCCCTTACAGCATATCTAAGCCCAAGAAATAAAGATTATAATTTACTTTCTTTAACTTTTTTCCACACTTTCTGTCCTAGGATGACTACACTAACTTACAATACTATATCTATGAAGGAGCAGCATGGTCACAGTAGGCTGCTTTCCTGATTTGGGCTACAACCACCTTCCCCTCTCCTCTTCATGTCAAAATTCATCTGTGGCACATACTGTCATTGTCCTTTTCCTTGACTTGCTACTTAACCTGGCATATACTATGTCCGCCATTATTATAATAAATCATTGACTTGGTGGTATAAATGCCTGTATACCCTACATACAATTTTCCCAACCCTCCCCCACACTCTCCACCCCCATCCCGCTGGCATTACAACACTTCTCTGGGTACCAGTTGGGGAGAGTAGAGTGTTCACACATACACCACTGTGGGACATGATCTTCGACATACTGTATATTAAAAAGACAACCATCACCGATATCCTCCAAAGTAGCCCTACTGACTATTCCACCTGGACCCAGTGCCATAATTTCTAAGGCGCTGCATACTTTACTAGTTTTTTTGTGCAATCAGTTTTTTACCAAAATTAAATTAAGTATGGTCCTGTAGACAAAAATATTTCAGTCTTGGTCATTCATTTAGGCTTCCAATAGTAACTGCATTTTCCCCTCACACTTCTTTAGAATGATGTTAGGCAGAAAATAAGAGAATCTAGCATGTTTAATTAACTGTGGCACAATGCATACTTCTCTTTCACTAAACAAATGAATGCCTATAAATTACCAATTATGTATATTATTTGCACATTACAATTTTGGAACATCATCATTTTTTATTAATTCATTCTTAAAGCATTATCTTTCATTTAACTTTTTTGTACAGTTATGTCATCATGTTTACAATCCTCCAAAGAGGATTTTTTTAAACCAGTGAATTAAACAGGCAATAAGAAACAACTCCACCTAAGTTTTATCATGGCATACTACAAATAGGGTTGTCACATGGACAGTCCGGGTTTTGAATACTGTGTTTGGCTTTCATGTCAGCAGAAACCTGGACACAAGATGTCAGGCAGACAGGGGCAACCAAAATTAAGATGGGGGCTACTGGCCCCCCACTGAAAATAGTCTCAGCTGTGATATTTACATATGAATGGGTGGCACTATTTACATATGAATAAGCCGCAACCCATTCTTCAAAAAAAATGTCAGCGCGTCACTAGGGTGTTCGGGTTTCCCTTGAAGAAAAGGTGGCAACCCTAACTACAAACCTTACAGCATTTTTGTCTAGGTGCCTACTAGGTGTACCTGGGGTGTTTTTAGGACCCTAGAAACGCCCATGGGATAAAATTACACTTTAGATTATTTTGTGTGCTTTGAAAGACTGAATACCCAACTCTCAATTTCCAACTTGTTCAATCACTTCCTCTTTGATTGGAATGATGACATCTAAATGTTTTGTAGATCTTGTAGATAAATCAGAATATTAAAATGATTATATTAATATGGAACTGAAATGTGGTCATCATATGCTTTGCTCTAATCATTCAATTCAAATATGTTTTTCTATTCTGGTGAGATCCAAGAAAAAAAAAAAATTTTTTTTAGGTGTTTTGTATAGTTTGGTAAGTTTTTCATTCAATTTGAGTTAGGCTTTATAATATAATTGCATGAGAATTGTAAGAAAAGTTATTGGGTCTTCTGTGGATTTCCTAGCGTAACACCAATTGTCCCGTCAAATCTAAACATAATATTGATCAATGAGTGGTTTGTTTTAGACATATTGATTTATGAACACTATACACACCTTTTTTTAAATAATCAATTTTTACATTTTCTTTAGTGGTTGTTTATTTTTATCTGCTTTCTTGTTTTGTCTCCTTTTCAGTCATTTTTCTTTTGACTTTTGCTAAGAAGTTGTAATGATCTCTGAACTTTGTTAGAGAACATGTTAAATGTTCAGCAGCTGGGATTGATTTGAGAATTAGAAGGCAGTTTTGTTTACAGCCATGACATACAATATTCTGCCGTATAGATTTACTTTCAACATGCTGATGTCTGTATTTACATGGCGCTAACTGAACTGTGTTGTATAAATATAATGTAGTTGGTTAGGTTGATGGATCCATCTCATGCTTTTGGAGCAGTACGTTGGCCTTCAACTTCCGATAATTAACTAGGCAACCAACATTTTGGGCCTGGATAACTCTAACCTGCAAGTATCATAACACCCAAAATATTAACTTAACACACCACAAAAAGTGTTAGTATAAAGCCCAACTTCAGTGAAAACTTTTTTTTTAGTGGGAAAGAGCTAGAACCTTTATCAACTTAATACAGCTGCCCGTGTCAACATTTGAGACATTTCTCCTAAACTCCTGTAAATTTCATGGGTATTAAAACAGAAGGTGAGATAAAATGTCATCACTTCCTGTCTGTTTGACAGGCGTCTCTCCACTTTCTGTTTATTTGATGGGTATTACACAAACAACAAAACTGCATTTTTAGTAGAATGAGGGAGGTTTAGAACCTCTATTAACATTTTACTGCTGTCTGTGAGGGAGATTTTCCTTTGAGTTCCTGTCCATGTCACAGGTGTCAGACAGAACAGGATAAGAGAAACCCCCTCTTTCGGAACACAGAGAGGGGGATGTATCAAAACTGCAGCAGACAAAATCTGGAGCAGCTGTGGATGATAACAAATTGGCTTCTCTTTTCCATTTCAAAATCTTAACTGAACAAACTGAGGGGAGTAGCTGATTGGTTGCCATGGGCCAGACTCTTCTGCTCCAGTATTGATAAATTCCACCCTTAATAGTGTTTAGAGTCTAAAAGCAAAGTCTCATCAGCAGGGACAGCTTTTAAAACATGCTAGATGTTCTAGCTCTTTCAAAACGTATAAGAAAATGTTTTGAATGGAATTGGGCTTTAACATCAACCTAACTGTTGATGTTAAAGTGGCCATACACGCAGAGATTTGTGATCAATCTAGATACTAGCGACTGCAAACAAGTGCTCCATCATCATTTAAAATATTGAACGTTGCAACATGCAGTGTATCATTCAGCATGTTGAGATAGATTGAAAATATTGATCGAAAATGTGAGCTATAAACTAGAAATGTAAAAATTATTATTTGATCGATTTTCAAATTACAATCACTTCTTCAATACATGTAGATATTTTTTAAGAGATTAGAAGCAATCTACAAAATTGTACAGCGGCTGACCATTTTATTCAAAATCGATTGGGCCATAAGGAGCTTAGGTAGGGTCCCATGAGTTCATCCAGCATGGAGGGGTGTGGATGTGCTCATATTGCTAACTCTCAAGGTGCCAAGATTTTGGAAAGCACAAGATTATAAATTGAAGTACAACACTAGTCCAGATATTTCTTTATTCAATCTAGGGTTGAGTGGACAGTATACGAATAGCTGACTTGTTTTGGGGGCTCACATACAAATACCCCTTCATCATGGCTTGCAAAGCGAGAACATACATCAGGACTGTGATGGCTTGAAATTGGATGCCATTTGTCCAGTGTGTGAGAATGTGGAGAGATCATCAGCAGCTCATTTGGCAACTAGACCTTTAGACCCCATTCACACGTAGCGACATACCTTTTGCAGCGGATCCGCACGGCCGGGATAGCGCGACTTTCGGGGCGACGTTCCAGCGACGATCCAGCGACGGTAGCGCGACCTTCTCCGTCGGGCTCCATAGAAAAAAGGCAAAATCGCGCAAAATCCGCCGAAAAAAGGGTCCGGTAGAAGCGACTTGCGACCGCGACGAGCGACATGGAGTTAAGACAGCTCCATTGAATAGCATTGGCCGGCGACTTCTCGCGATATCGCGCGGCAAAAATGCGCGATATCGCGCGATAATTCGCTACATGTGAACGGGGCTTTAGGCTTAGAGTATTTAGTGCATTTTCCTGAGGCAGTGACAAACTCATTAGTGTTGCCCATAACAACCAATCATGTTCCAGCAGTAGATTTTTTTAGGTTACAGCATGAAAATTAGCATGGAAGTGGTTGCCATGGGCACCAGTGCTTTTTTTGTTCTTTTTTTTTTAAATCTTTCAATAACCAAACTGCACCATGGATGGTTTGTTGAAACTGGAGTAAGAATGTCTGTAGTTTCCATATCAACCAATCAGATACCAGCTTTCATTTTTCTAGTACTGGTTAGAAAATAAATCTTTTAGAACTCTCAGGCGGGGCTTGTCTTAGGTGGTGCTTGTCTTCTTTTCTTTCAGATTGGCAGCATTGGACGTCATACTGTCAGAGTCACCGGGGTAAGCACACTGGATTTCCGTGCTGCTTTTTCCACAACAGCCATAACTGACCCTGCACGCGTCATTGAGCGGCCCATTCAAGGTAATCCCAGTTTAAATAAGAGCTGTTATCACTTGATCTTTTTGTTGTGGAGACATATAGAGGTTCAGGGGAAAGTTTTAAACTGGTCTGGTTGCTAGGGACATCAAAGCCTCTTGTTACATGCCAACGATGTGATCAATGACGCTCCAGATTATTATACTGTAGGGGGGACGCTGCTTATATCAGGTAAGAATCTCTACTGCTCTCTTAAGGAAGTGAGGGGAAATCTTCCCAAATGGGACACAGACAGCCATAAAAATCTGACAGTGCTTCTATCCCTTTGACCCTATACTAAAGTGTTTTATTGCTGCTTCTAATTCATTCTGTTGGAAACATTTCTCTTCACTTCTTCTTGTCTCAGAGACACTGGAACAGGAAGTGAGGGGCAATCTTGTCAGAGGGGAGCAGATGGTTGCAAATTCTGTCAGAGGCACACATGCTTCCCCATCTTGTTTATGTGTTTAGATGAGCACTGAGATCTTGAGGAATGCTGAATTAAGTTTTACTTGCTTAGGAGAACTTTACATGCGAATACAGCATTATACAGCATACAGAGAGAACTTCCTGTGTGTCATAGATAAATATGCACAGAGACTAACATTGCACTACAACGCCATCTACAGCTCAAAATACATAATTACACATGGAATACAACCAATGTTGCATTTCCAACACTCCACTCCCCCAAACTAATTATAAAAAGGGTTGGGATTAATTGTGAACGCTTGACTGACCCGAATGTTTGTGGTAATTGCAGCCTGGATAACTGAGGTCCTGCAGGGTACCTGACTGCCTCTGTATGACAATATGTGGCATTGCCCTATGCTTTATCAAACATTTTCTGAGCATATGACCTCTATTGGTTAAGGAATGCTAGTTTTCAACTACCTTTCCATTTTAATGTGTATTTTTGCCTAATGTTGTTTTTTTCCTGCATGCCTACAGCACAGATGGAGGAGCCTGGCATTATTTTATATAGATGGATAACCCTGGCTGTGTGCACCAAATTAACTGTGCTATGGTGCTTTTAACACCTCGTACTGCAGAATTCAAATTCGGAGAGAGGGCAGGATCACTGGAAGCCAATCAGTTGCCCTGTGGAACTTGGGCTGGCAAGGAACATTCTGACAGGAGGAAAGAGCAGACTAAATAGATGGATGACTTATCACTGAATGCTGCTCCCCCTCACTGTCCAGTCGCAGGCTGGGGGCAGGGAGATGACCACACTGTATTGCTTAAATGCAGTAGAGCAACGTCAGGTCACTAACCTGGCCCTGCTGTCTAGTAGGGCAGTGTATATTTCTAGGATGGTCTGACACATAATTGTAATCCATTTTCATCTAAAAATGCTCATATATATATATAGATATCAATTTCAGTGTTATGTTTAGCTGTTTCTCTGGTGTTCAGTTTCATCTGCAGCATTTACCATGATGATATTTGCAGAGTAATTTCTTTAGCTCATGTGATTCATGGTCTATAGAACGTTGAGAAACTGCATCTGTAAAGGAGGTCTGTTTAAATGGTGGTTATCTGTCTCCCCTTTCCCTGGCTCACCAGTTCTCTAAAGATCCTGATTCCAATAAACCCGAGGTGAGGTGCTAAGCACAGTCTTTGGTATTATAACATAATGGCACAAAGGTCCCAGAATACTTATGCTGTTGTGGCTCCTATCACATATAATTATGCATCAGATAGCTGACTTTATTTTCTGCTTATTATGCTATTGACTAAATTGCTATTGATCAAGTAGGAATGACAACAATTATGACATTTATTTTCTTTCTGGTTTAAGGTATTCCCATCTCTGCCTTAATAAACTGCACTGGTCTCTCTCCGCCCGGGTTAGTGAACAGCCTGGACCTCCTCCGCATCTCTGGAGATTCATACTTCTCTTTGCCGGCTCAGCGCTTACCACATAAGCGTAGTAAAAAGCTTTGGACAGTTCCTTTGTTTCAAGCACCCCGTGGAAGCTTTTTTTTGAAAGTTAATGGCACCGACCCTAACGGCCATCAGTTTCAGAGACTCTCCAATGTGGCATATACAAGCATAATACCAGGTAAATTGCAGATCACAGATGACAGTGTTCTCAAATATGAAGCAACACAAAGTGGAGTTCCATCACAGGTGCATGAGCTGTAGTTGACCTACTTCAAAGCTGCATTTGACCTGCTACTAAACTTAATTCGAGCTCCTCCCAAAGTCAGTTTGGCAGTTGCAGTCAAGGCTCTGTTGTAAGCTGGACCTCTACGAAACTATTTGGAAGTGCATACACTTACATATATTCCAGTGGAGAATCCGCAAGTGAGCCTTTGACACCATATTATTGCTGTTTTTGGCACTAGTTTATTCTTCATAGGAATATATGAAAAATGTGCTTCAGAAAATGGACAGCAGTAAATGTATGTCAGGAGATCAAACCCTGCCTCAGTCAACACCAAAATTAAAAAAGACTGTTTGGTATAGCTCCACTTTACCCACCGCAGCAACATTTGACACCGTTATCTAATCTGCTTGTGCATGGACAATGTAATGTACACCCTTTATAAAAATGTGGAGACTGCCATTGCTGACTTCTCATTCTAAAAATACTGATTGACTGACTGTCATGCTGATGGACATTCCAAGATACTAACCCAAAATAGAAACAAGGAATTCTAACTTTTTTTCTGGCTTTTATTGGCTGAGTGCTTGTATTGGGTTGTTGACTTCAAAGTATTAAAACTAGATACAGCCCGGCCACTGACCTTTTTCAGACAAAGGATGTAATGGCAGTCTCCATTTCTCTCAATACATTAGTACTTTAGGGCTGAATAGAGAGAAAACCTATGCATTTTAGAGATTAACTAGATATTCATCAAGTCATCAAAAAATCATCATGGGCTGTGAAAATAAGTTGTGTCTTTCCAATTTTCTTAGATGTAATTGCAGCATTAAAATTGATTGCATATCTGCATATGTGGCTAGTTTACTACAAGCATAGATGGAAACCTACAAAATACCAGAGTTAGGCATTTTATGGGTGACCATGGGTTACCCTCTCCAGGTCTCTCCTAGTGGTTTAATCCCCCATAAAAGAGTACCAAGTGTATATAGTTTGCTGAAAAGAAAGAGAAAAGCACTGGAAGTCTGTGAATGCATCCCTTTATTAGAAGCCATGTCACCATTCTGGAGGTCTTAGTAGGGTCCTTATGAATTTACATCTACATTATTATCACACAGAGATGCTGTAAAGTTGCAGGTGACAAGATCCACAGCTTTCCGGGGACCACACATAGTGGCCAATGCCTGCGTCTTAAACTATTTTCCTGTCTTATTTTTTTCGGTAGATGTCCCATCTGTGTCCATGCTACCACATACTCAAGGCTTTCACCAGCATCCCCTGACAGTAACCTGCTCGATTCAAAGTGACATCCCCTTTAGGGTTCGCTTTTCCAAAAATGGAGAGAGACTAGGAAGTGAACTATTCTTTACGTAAGTAAATTGCATCCTATAAGTACACTTCATTCAAGGAAAAGATGGTCTGTTTTGTGATGATAATTTTAACATGCAATATTTACTTATTTCCAGGGAACCTACCAATGCCACCTACGAAATCCCATCTGTTTCTGCCCGCCATGAAGGTCTTTATCAGTGCACAGCCATTAGTAATGCTGGAGCAGGTTTTGGCCAAACCCAAGTGTCTGTTGCAGGTAGGAGACAAGATTAGGCTTATTCAACACAAAGTGCAATGCACAGTATAATGACCCATAGTGACTAGGGATGCACCGTAACTATACTAGTATCGGTATCGGTGCCTATTCTGAGTACATCATGCTTCCTCGTCACCTGGTGATGAGGGAGCATGGAGACCGCTTCTCGACTAATCAGGAAGCCAGGTGGTGAGTCATTACCTGCCACCTGGCTTCCTTAATAGGACTTCCGGTATTGGTATTCGTACTCGATACCGAAAAACCTGTATCGGTGCATCCCTAATAGTGACCAATCAGAATTCATGTCCTGGGTGAAGGGTAGTTTTTAAAGGGCAATCCCCCCCGCTTACAGTGGCGGCAGTCCCGGCGCTAGCGCAAGGCAAGAGAAATGGAATCCCTGTCCCTGCAGATAACTGTACCCGGGCCGGTTATCACACTGTTATCTGCTGGGACAGGGGTTCTCCCATCTGTGGCCTCACAGACTGTCAGCGGTTTCTCCCTACAGGCTGTAGTGATCTGTGTCAGTGGGGACAAATTAAAGTTAAATTAATAAGAAGTAAAAAATATGTTTAAAAAATAAATAAAATAAAGTTAAATAAATACAAAGTAAAAATGTAAAACAATAAAAAAATTAAGTTTAAGAAAAAATTAGCAGTGGGTGGGTGCAGTAGCCAGCCTGTTATTGGCTATTGCAATTTGAAATATCCAATAGCAGGCTGGCTGTTGCTCCCAGCAATGAAGTAAAAAAAAGAAAAGAAAAAATAAATAAAATAAACAAATTAAAAAAAGTTAAAAAAAGTTAAATTAATAAGAAGTAAAAAATATGTTTAAAAAATAAATAAAATAAAGTTAAATAAATACAAAGTAAAAATGTAAAACAATAAAAAAATTAAGTTTAATGAAAATTATTAGTGCCCCCCCAGATTTGACTGTGGTATCTTATGTGCCCCCCCCTATATATTGTTCCTAGAGTCGCCACTGCTAGGGTGACAACACTCTCTGTGCTGTATCTATGGAGAAGCAGTATTTTCACCCAAGTCTGCAGTCCTGATTTGGACTACCAACACCTCCTCATTAAGCGCTGCGCAAACTGTTGTCGCTATATAAATCCTGTATAATAATAATAATTTCCATAACACAGAGGGGAGGTATTCTGTAGTTTACATAAGATAGCTGGGAAGGCTGATAACATTAGTAAGTTCAGGGCACAGAAAGTTATGAAAATGAACAAATATTTTTCTGTAATTCCAGAAAGTGCCACTTAGCCTGAAAAAAGAAAAGTAATGTACCCACCACATTTAATGATTTGTAAGCTGCAATATATAGCATTTTTGTTCTTGGGTTTAAACATAATTTTGTTGTGACATTTTTAAATGGTGGCTCTTCCATATATTTGTCATCACCTTAAATTTAGAGATGTGTCGATAGAAGGAACACTCCGTTTACAATATTGTTGCCTCCAATCTTGAGATATTAACAGTAAAAGAAAGGGTGTTGCTTTAAAAAAAAGTCTGACTCATTGCCAGGAGCAGTAAAGCACAACTGTTGTGTAGCACTGCAGTGCAGGAAGCAAAACTTGTATATGTAACTAGCAGATATGGCTTTCCTCATAAATAATTATTAACTATAGACAGAGACAAGGTTTATTAACACACATTGATTAGATTATTGACATAATTTGATCAGTTTTGCTCCTTTTTAATTACATTTTTAATTATGTTTTTAAATTATATATACTTTACCATGTCCCACCAATGGGATCATCTATAATTTTATTTTTTTTCTTTATTTGTGTAATTCAGTGCATATTGTAGAACTGTAGCTGTTCTTCTTTTTGCAGATCCTCCTCCCACAATCTCACTCCACCATAATGTCACGGTTTCACTTGGCGAAGTGGCAGTCCTGTCCTGCCACGTGCTAGGAGATGTCCGCTACAACCTTACCTGGCAGCACGATGGCAAGGCGCTGAAAGAGGGTCGGCTGTGGATCCTGCCTAACTCATCACTGCAGATTCACAATGTTCAGCCTGGAGATGCCGGGAGGTACCTGTGTACTGCTAGGAACAGTCATGGCACCACAACAGCCAGTGTCTGGCTTTCAGTACAGAGTAAGAACTTTGTATTTGGCGTGCTGGTGTTTTAGGATCATGTGACTTTTAGGAATGTGTGCCGATTTCCTTGGGGCTCTTGTATAGCAGTGTCTGAAACAAATTGCTCTACATGACATCAGCCAATTATATTCTGCTGAAGGACCCCAAAGACCTGAGATTATTGTCAGGATTCCATGTCTATGGTGGTGGGAAGATGGCAGTTCCTGGGGATAAATGTGTGGCTCTGGCAACCCTGTTTGTGCTGCTCCCCAACTCTTGTCTTCACTGATATAAGCTTGCAGAGCCAACCTAGCCAGTATATGGAGCCTTCTGCAGCATTCGCCAGTTTTGCTTTTCTGAGGGTGGTTGAATTATGTCTGCACATCCACCTGCTGCCGAAGACCAACATTACAGTACCTACAGATAAAATAAAACATTTGCCCATTCCAACCAATTACAGTCAGGCCAGGGAATGATTATTCATACACCCTGCCTGAGGTTGCATGGGGAAACAATTGATCAGCTGGGATGGGTTTTCTTGGCCAATCACGTTTGCTTTTTGCCTAACACAGCAGCGCTTGCACTGTTTCTCCTCTCAACTCTACATGCACAAATACAGTATGACAGCTTGTCCAATGCAAATGTAGATGTTTGTAAGCTAATCTATATATATCAGTAGCCAGTATTTGCATGCATGGCCAACTGCAATTTAAGGTTTGTAGGTACCTTCAAGGATCAGCCCACCCAAAACTAATATATTAGGTTTTGGTAGATACCGTAAAGTTAAACCACCTGATAGTTTTTGTTAAAAATATATTTTGGCGACTCTATTGGTGAGATCTCTGCACTGAGTTCCTGGGTCTGCTCACCTGCTGTACCCATTTTGAGGGCTCCAGCTCCCCCCCACTCCCTGGATTTATTTTTTATTACATATTGTAAAAATGTAACAGGAGGAGCCTTAACATACAAAGTTTGCCAGAGGCACTCCAAACTTCGAGGGAGACAGGAAGAGAGTCGGCAAGATCTCACTGTTGGAATATCCATGGCTTATAAGAAGTCTGGGGACTGATCAGTGCACCTATAATCAAGATACCCACTTTTGGACAGACAGACCCGTTAACTGTGAAATCTATAATCTTTCTGATATCAGTATTACTGTTAGACTCTTTCACAAATGAGATTTCTCAACAATTACAAGTATTAAAAGTTAATCAATGAATTTAACAGTGAGCAAAAGGACATCTATTGCTACAATTAGCCACAATATTTTATAATATAATATAGAGTATGTAAAAAAAAACTATTTCTATATTATAGCACAACTGGTGTCAGGCTGAAATGAGGCTGCATAGCATAGAGGAAGAGGCATCTGAATAAACTGTAATTTACACTTACTGCGTTTACTTACACCTGTACTGATCACTTGAAAGGCACCTGGGACTGCACTCATTTCAGCTTGACTCCGAAAATATGGAAAACTTTAACCTTCGTATGCATTAATTATCATATATTATATCCAGAAATATTAATGTGTGTAACCCATATGCTGTGTTTTAGAGCCTCCACATATACAGATTGAGTCCAATTCCAGGCAACTGTCTCACGGAGGGGAGGTGAGGATACAGTGTGATGTATCAGGGTACCCCAAACCTCAGATTACCTGGAAGCATGGCAATACCTTCCTCACCAATGACAGCAAGTATGTCACAGGCAAATTACCACAATGTAGCGTATGCTTATAAGGAATGAAGTATATTCGAATGAGTGGGCAGAGAGAAAATGTCTCATCACACAGCAGCCAATCACTAAAAGGAAACCAAGAAAATGAAAATAAAATGTTGATTGTCTGGTTTGGGATTCATCATATTATTTCACAGGTTCCAATTTGCATACTGTATACCAGATTTTATTTTTTACAATTTAAATGGAATCTGAAGTGTATTTTGAGTGAGCACTTATGCTGAGTTGTTATTGTTACATTTACCTGGAAGTGATTTTTGTGAGTTATACATATTTGCCTATTTGCTTTTCCATATTTTATGATTATATTTTATATAAAGATTAACAGACCCTCATTTTAGTTACTAGCTTTGTGTCAGACAGCGGAAATAACATTCTTTAGATTGTGTACTGAGGCGGTGCACAATCATGACTGTGTCCATTTAGCCTTGGGTGCTAAAATGAACCAACTCCCATGCACACGCGTAGGGCTTGGGTCATCCCGGGCAGGGTAGCCCTTTGAATGTTCTAAATTGATCCAAATTGGAGCTAGTTGAAGCATACAAGGACTAAAAACAAAGGCTTGAGACGTCATGTGACAGCGCTGGTGATAATGCCCAAGTGGCCAATTGCCCAGCACGAGCACTTTCACATGGAGGGAAGATGATTGAGACACATGATTTCCATACCCAGAAGAACAAGCCATATCTCCTTATTCCTGGCAGCCAGTGGAGGAGAACCAAAGAGAAGGTTAGTATGTGCTGCTGCAGAAGCCTCCATTATGTGAACGTGTTGCTTTGCCTTGCATGGACAAAGTGAAGGTTTTCTTTAAAGCAATTCTTAACATAATTTGCCCATTTTTATAAGGTTGCTCTTCCATATTTCGTCATTGCATTAAATAAATAAATAATAATAAATACGAGGTTTGTAGATTAGCTAATAGAGGGAGCTCCCAGTGCCATAAATGTATCTCTAAATAACCGGAAATTTAAAATATCAACCATACAGGGAGTCCATTTGTAGGCAGTGGGCCGTCTCACAGATTTTAAATGTGAGAAAGAGCAGTAGTACTGCAAAGTAGGAACCAGAGCCTGTGTATGTGATGAACAAATATGACTGCTGTGATTTACATATAGTTACAACTTGTGCATAGCAGCAAGATTGGAAACCTTAACACATATTGATCTGATTTCTGTTATTTACATGTTAATATGTTTATCTAAAAATATAAGATAGTACATTCCCTTGAAGAACTGTTATATGGATACATAATTAAATGTGTAGAGAGAAATAAGAGAACATACTGTAGATCTGGCACAGTTTATGAGCTCTCTTTTAGAAGCTCTACAAAGAACATTCACTGTGCTGTTGCCAAGAAAGCTGCAAATGTCTTGGTGCTAGAGGAATACACTTTGCTTCACACTAATATATTTTTATCACTATTTTTGAATACAGAATTATCCTCCTAGAATGTGCTTTGTATTAATAAATAAATAAATCCTTGGGAGTGGGGGCATCGAATTGACCAAGAGAACTGCATTAAAAGAAAAGGAACCATACTTTAAAAGTCTTCTCTGTTTATTCCCTGTAACACAGACACACAATCATTGATGGTAACATCCTGCTGATTAGAGATGCAAGCCAGGAGGATTCTGGGAATTACAGCTGTGTGGCTTCCAATGGTTTAGGGACAGATGAGCAGTCAGTAACTCTAATATATACTGGTAAGTGTTTGGCTTTGGAGCCATCTGATTGGATGGATTTTTAAAAAGAACATTGGATTAATCCTGGCACTTATATTTGGCAGAACGTCCTAAAGCCACTGCTGTAAAGCCTTCACTGCAAGTGCCCGTAGGAGAGGACGCCGTTTTAAAATGTAGCACAGAGGGGCTCCCTAAGCCGCTGGTCATATGGTACAAAGGTAAGTGACACATTTAAAGTTAAGTAGGGGCATGCTAGAAGCCCTGTGAGCGTTTTGATATTGTCTGTATTCCTGTTGCAGATTTTCCCTCGCTTCCTGTTTGGTAAAACATTGTCCCCAGAACAGAAAGTGATTGAAAATCTCTGATGATCATATTGACCTCCAGGAGCCACCACCAGGGTTGATTTTGTGCCAGTGACACAACCTTGTCAAACAACCTCTTGCTTTCTTTTGCAGGGGAACCCAACCACACAGCCTGCTGCTCAGTATTCGTGCCATCTACACCCTGAGCATGTGTGATCAGCTGTCTAACTTGACAGCCTTGGAGCTGCTCAATCCACCTCTCTCTCTCCCTCTCTGCCTTCAGCAGACAAAATGGCTCAGAAGATATTGCGCATGCACCACTGCAACGGTTGAGTGTTCGAGGTGCCATGCAAGCCAACACACACACAAACCATCAGATTCTCCCATTGCTAAAGCAACGGGGGTGATCTCTTGGTTGTTGCTTAGGTAAATACCCAGGTAGTGACATATGACATGCACCAAAAGGGAAGCTCAAATCTAGTGGCCATTGCTATTCCACCCCTTTGCAAGAGAAATCAAAAGGCTGCTATGCTCACGCCATGATAAAACTTCAATGACTTAATAATAGGCAGCCATTACATGTATGTTAGGCTATTGCTGAATTTTTAATGGTTGTTGTATAATTTCAGGTGACAAGGAAGTAACAGGACTTATTAGCGGCTCCCATGGTGGGACTCTGACATTACAGGAAGTGGCAGAAGAGGATGCTGGGGAATACACTTGTTTGGCCTCTAATGAAGCAGGATCATCATCTGATATCATCCAAGTAGAAGTTGGCAGTAAGTAAACCCTGTATTTCTTCACACTTTGGTCCTTTGGATGTGTATTGTGTACATAACGTCATATTTGTTTACCTGATTATCCTAACCTGTAAAACCAGCTCAAGATTTTTGAAACAAACCTAGCCTAACATTTAGCCATTTATTTTTCTTACATACTTACAAATCATATGCAAGGCATGCTTATCTAATCTACAAAGGAAAGGACCTTCTGACAACTCTCTTATATCTATTTTTGATGGGGTTTATCTTTCAAAACATTTAGACGTTTATGTGTTCAAAAAGCTTGCCAGTCCCTTGGTGGCCCCTCGCAACCCAGTGCCTACGGCTGCTTTTCCATGCAGCATCGTTAGCAAGGACTCTTTGAAGCCTTCTGTTAAGGCCCCAACATTACAGCCCTGGTACTCAGGAGCTCTGGAGTTGCAGGGCTAAATATATTAATGCTCTGCTCTCCCTCACAGCAGCAGTGAAGGAATAAATTTCCCCTATAGAAGTGGAAAATATCCCCGACCCTGAATAGAGACCAATTTGTAATTCTCTTCTCTCTGTATTCATGACCGTATTTCCTGGTGCTGCCGGCTCTGACCCGGCTGGAAACACTTTTTCGACTTCTGTCTTCCTCTCGGGGTTCATTGCTGCCCTTTCAGCCTGGAATGGTTCATGGCATTTAGGCTGTTCTTGTTATCTAAGGCTATAAAGGTTGTCTGAAGATAATAACAAAGAGTGAAAAGTGTATTATTCTCTAAGCTACATGCTCTATAAACAGCTGAAACATGAAGTTCACCATGCAATCTGTGTATCTAGAATGAAAACACTCTAGACTAGAACTGAGGGTATGGACTTTGGCAAAATTCTTAATTTTGTCATCTGTGATTTTTTTTTTCTTTTTTAATATAGTACTTGTTGTATTTGTGTTTCATTTCTTGTTTGGGTATTTGATTGTTATTTGGACACTGTAGTTTTAGGGGTTATAAAAGAAAAATTAAAAAATTAGACTAATGAAGGGCCATTTATTGGCACAAAAACAGATCCAGGATAGTAAAAAAAAAAAAAAAAAAGCTTCCGCAACCCTCAGTAGCTATTAAAGCCTTTTTCGGCCACTGACTTAAGACATACATTGGGGGCAGCAGTGACATGCAAACAGACTTCATGTTGCTATAGTTTTCTGTTAGAAGTGATTCAGGTAACTGAGCAGTTTTACAATCACTTCCACATTCTGCAGAAGGTGTGCCCCCCTGCCATGTATCTCGGGCTTAGCTCTTCGGTGCTGGGGACATACATGGCTGGAATGAGCGGGGAGAGCAGAGAACAAGCACTGATAGCCCCCGCATTGATTGAAGGAAGTTTAGTCTTAAAGCCAATATTCACCACTCTGGCTAGGAAAGATGCTAATCAAGCACAATCTGTCCTTGATTAGCTTCATCAGAATGTAGGGGAGACATTAGGAATCACCCCCACCCAGTACCTCAATGTCTCATTAAAGAAAACATGCCAATTCCTCTGTGCTATCACAGGGGGGTTGTCAGCCCCATATGTGATAGCAATGACGTTAAGTTAAATTAATAAAATCAATTAAACATTTTTTTTAAAGCCCCCGCCCCACATACATGTGCATAGGAACCGTTTGGAAGGTGGAGGTAGATGAGCCCCATAGAAGACCATGGGGCTCTACTGCACAGACGTGGCCAGCAGCCCAGGGCACCCAATCTCCGTAAGTATGCATCTGCAGAGGAGAAGGGTGAGCTCTGTGAGATTAAGAGGAGGGGGGCAAAAGAATAAAGCTTAGGTGAATCCATTTTTGTTTTGTTTTGGATAGAGTGGGGGATGGATGAGAACCTCTGTCAGAGTTTAATTTCTAAAGGTAGGGGTAAGTAGCACTGGACCCAATATTAGTTTAGTTTCTCAATCTGCAGATAAGTCCATACTGTACAGTACAATACTTCTGATTAGACATAGCTAGTAGTAGTTAGTCACATGCATCTGGACTTGAATGTCTTAAGGCAGATATTGATCATCCAAGAACAGGATGGGAGGTATAAAAGTTGTGGAACCACTCTGTTCTAGTTACATAATCCCATTCTTGGTGTCAGGAGGTCTGCAAAGGTATTAACCCTTTGATTTACATTCTCCTTCTATTAGTATGCTTCTTGTCAGCACAACCGATTGGATCCTTGCACTGCATTTTCCTCTTAATCTAGCCATATGCTGTGATATTTTCTTTGTTCAACCTGCTGGCTGAATGAAGAAAATATACCAGGTTCCTCCATCAACGTTTACCAGTGTCGATTGAGGAGTCTTCCGCTGCTTAAAGGTAGCTGCTGTCAGAATACCTGGACAGAGCCGGCAGCTGAATCTGTTCATACGAAAGTTATCCAACCAGCTTCTTCGATCAGCTGATCGAAGGATGCCAGCCGAAAGCGTGCCCACAGTGCCACCCAGGCACTGAAGAACCGGACGAAATTTGCATAGTTTATAGCCAGCTTTACACTCCAGCTCTGATTTATTAGGACTGTAAGAGGCTGATTCTAGTTACATTTACATTTATTGATGTATTAATACAGATCTGCATTAGCAAGAATCTTTTATATCTGCCTAGGGTTCAGCTTTACTAAAAACTCACCTACAAGGTCTCTCTGTCTTTAGATTTTGGCCCAGGGTGATAAAGATTTTCTGTTCCTTTTTGTTATGGAGCCTGCTTTTAGACCCCATTGTAGCAAAAACACATTAATTTAAAACATCCCTGTTAGTAGAAGACTATTTATTGGCTCCATTCTGGTCCCACTTTACAATGTGACTCTGGACGTTTTGTAACATTTTATTGCATTCTAGTTAGTGGGCTGTCTTGCCTTCCGCTACAAAACAATGGGGATGTCAAAGCTTCATTTTCACTGCAGGATTTGGACATAGCCTCTGTCTATCATACGCCTGCGTAATCTCCTGACAGTAACACACATCTTTTAGCCTTGTTACTATGTCTAGTCCACAAGGTACAGCTGGAAAATGTTTTAAAGCCTGTATTGGTAGACTTGTAACGACTTGGTGATAGAGGAAGTTTAGCCCGGGAGGGAGGGGGGGACCCAGACATTATAAGCCCATTAGGTGAAGGGGCCAGTTCAGAAGGACATGAATAACTCAATAGGCATTTGAAGACCTCAGACAGACCTGGGATACACACATTTCCTTTACCAACATACAATATTATAATGAGAAATTGAGTTTTAGGGAGAAAGTGGGCCTTCCATGGGGCACATTATAGTGCATGGAAAGCCTAAATCCTACTTGTCTCTGGCTGTCCAAATACAAACTGGAGAAGCTCACCTTCTTACTGCTTTAAAGCTGAACTCCATCTTTCATCATATTATAGTATTGTAGAGTACAGTATAGTATAGTCGCCAATTGTAGCTTACACAGTCGCCTAGCACCAGCACTGTTAGGTGGGAGGAAGGGGAGGGAGTCACTTGGTGGTCAGTGGAGAAATGCCTGCTTAGATTGGTGGTCAGTAGAAAAGTACCCCTAATACTGGCGGTCAGTGAAGTGGCCCTTACATTAGTGGTCAGTGTAATGTCATCTTACATCATTGATCAGTGGCGGAAGGACCCCCTTAGTTTGGTGGTAATTGAGAGAAGGGTCCCATTACAATGGTGGTCAGTGGAGACGGGGCCTCTTCCAATGGTGGTCAGTGGAGATGGGCGTCCTTAGATTGGTGGTTACTGTGCGAAGGATCTTTCAGATTGGTGGCCATTGGCATAAGGGCTTTCTCACATATATGTTCAGCAGGAGAAGGCCCCCATCACACTGGTGGTTTAGTGGGAAGTATGGTTCTTAAATTGGTGGTTATTGGGAAGAATGACCCTTATATTGCTGGTTAGTGGGAAGAACACCCCCTTGCACATAGCCAAAAGATAATTGGTGTCCATGGTTACTTATTAGTCAGAAATTGCTCCTTGTTTAAACCCTTAATGACCGAGGCCTTCGTTTCGTTCCCATGTTATAATCCACATTTTAGACCTGAAAATTTACTTCAAACCACCCAAACATTATATATTTTCTGAATGCCAAGACACTGTAGAATAAACTGGCGGCAGTTGCAAATTTTTATGCTGCACAATATTAGCGCAAATTATTATCAAACCCAAACATTTACCCAAACCCAAAAATGCACTTAAATGCCCCAATACCCAACATGTGTAGCGCGATCATCGTTTTCGTATGCAGGCGCACCTCACGCATGTTTTTATTATTTTTACATTTATTTAATGTAATATTATGTTTAAAAATAGTTTTTTGGTTTTTTTTACTTTACTTAAACTGCTGGGTTTCGCAGACATGTTGGAGATGCCAAATGTCGGAAGGTACATATATACACATATGGTGGTCCTGTCCCTGATAAAGGCCTTTTGGACAAGGGTCTTAGCTTTGTATGATAAAGCACATTCCACGACTACTTGCAATACACCTACCTTAACTTTACTGTCTTTGTTCCCGGATTCAATATCAAAAGCTAAAAAGTCGGTTTTACGGTTTTTCCTTTTTGCGGCACGGCAGACTATTGCGAGGCACTGGAAGACGGCCCGCGCCCCTCCTATTATGGAGTGGCTGAATAGTCTGAGCGAAATCGCACATATGGATAAATTAGTAGCTATGGACTGTGATCACAGTGAGCGGTATAGGCAGCTCTGGGAAATGTGGAACTGCGTCAATTAATACTGTAATTTTACAGTATTAGTGACCACTTTTGCTGATTTAACAATTTTTTATTTTTTTTTATTGGATATAGGGTCTTTTTATTTTAAGAATGATTATAGAAAGGCACTAGTATGATATTAAGTAAGCTTCTTTGAGTTCTCCATATCCCCTCCCTCTCCCCCCCTCCCTTTTTTTTTTTTTTTTGGTGCACTGTGTTCCCCATCCTTTTTATGTTCCAACGTTATATGTTAATGTGTTAGTGTGTTAGTGTGGCTGGTCCATCAATAGTACACGTTGACGGTGATAATTGCATT